CGTGGTGTCTGTCAGGTTCGTCCACGGCAAGTTGTCATTTTCCCCTTTCTATCCTCGGTTCTTTGGAAGCCAGTCACCATGTAGCCCTGACTCAGTAGGGGAGGGAGAATAAGGTCTGCCTCCTTGAAGGGGCAGTATCTACAGATATTTGAAATCCTTCTGTAAGAAGACTTGTCTCTTCTCATTTATTATTCAATCATTTGTGCATTTCTTTATAGTCCAGCACTATGTTATATATTTGTTGCTCAAATTGTTCCAGTTTGCCCACTGGGAGCCCTTTCAGACTGGCCCCCGTATCCCTTTGACACACGGCAGTCCTTCCCCGCCCCCACCCCAGGATGTTAGCTTTTGATGTAAAATTTGGTTTTCTTCCCCAGCTGTGCACTGAAATTGCTTTAAGGTCCTTTAGATTACAATGGTTTCTAGATTGTCAGGCCAAAGTCTAAGTTTCTTTTCTTAGTTTACCAGACCTTTCTGTGACAATACAATTCATCTCTTTCTTTCAAATGGCATTTCAAAAAACTTATTATGGCATTTTCAAACACAGACCAAGCTAGATAGAGAAAAGAACATAATAAATCTCCATGTGTCCATCTCCCGGCTTCAACACTTCTCAACATTTTGCTCATCTTGTTTCACAGGTCACCTCTCACATGTTCTGCCACTGGAATACTTTATTTTTATTAGAGAGGGGAGGAAGGGGAGAGGGAGAGAGAGAATCTTAAGCAGGCTCCTGGGTGTGGAGCCTGACGCTGGGCTCAATCGCACGACCGTGAGATCATGACCTGAGCCGAAATCAAGAGTTGGACGCTCAACCGACTGAGCCACCCAGGCGCCCCGCCACTAGAGTACTTTAAAGGAAATCCTAGGCAGGGGTACCTGGCTGGCTTAGTTGGAGGAGTGTGTGACTCTTGATCTTGGGGTCATGTGTTTGAGCCCCATGCTGGGTGTAGAGATTAAATGAATAAAAAAAAAGGGGGGGGGCGCCTGAGTGGCTCAGTCAGTTAAGCGATCGCCTTCAGCTCAGGTCATGATCGCAGGGTCCTGGGATCAAGTCCTGCACTGGGCTCCTTGCTCAGCGGGGGAGTCTGCTTCTCTCCCTTCCCCTGCTCCTGTTCTCTCTCTCTCACTCTCTCTCTTTCAAATAAATAAATAAAATCTTAAAAAAAGAAAAAAGGAAATCCCAGAATCCCAGACATTCTATGAATTCAGCTGTAAAGAGTAGTGTCTTTAACAAGTAAGAACTTTTAAACAAACGAACAAAACAAACCATAACCACCAAAAATCTATTACACCTAACAAAATTAATAATTCTTTAATATCCTCTAACAGTCCATATTCAAATTTCCCCCAAATTTCAATAATTCAATTTGTTCAAATCAGTATCCCTACAAAGTGCACACGTTACATCTTGTAACAGTCTCCCCCTCTTGCCACTACCCCTTCTGCAACAGACTTTTTAAAAACCCAGTTGTTGAAGAAACTAGGTTTTTTTTGTCCTATCAAATTTCCTACATTCTGGATTTGCATGATTGTATCTTCATAGTGTCTTTTAACATGTTAGTCTACTCTTTGAACTTCCTGTAAATTGGTACTTAGAGTCTTAGATTCTGCATGTGTACCTGTATGTATCCGCGATATACCCGACATCTCTTTGTATCTATCTGTATCTTTGCAAAAAATACTTGATTGGTGGTGAAGTCCGCTTCCCAGTGCATCACAGTAAAAGCCCTATTATCTGGTTGTCCCGCTTACAATTTTCCCCTTTGAGACACCCGGCTGTCCTCTTTATATCTGCCATTTCTTCTCAGTTCCCTTCACAGACTCTTATGTTTTCAAGTTATTGTTCTTCAGGGCCCCACTGTCACTGGCCTATATATATAGGGTCTCTATATGGTCCCTTTTCCCATATTCCTAAGGCTGCGGACTCAAAAGTCTGTATTTTTGATGCAGACCCTCTCCACTGAATTCCAAAGCCCAGTATCCAGTGACTGGCAGGACGTCCCTGGATGTCGTGAGCTCTTCAAACCCTGTCCCATATGGAATTTGTCCCAAACCTGTTCCTCATTGTTTTCTTTACCTCAATGACTAGAACCACCACCCGAGACAGAAACCCGAGCCATCCCAGCCTTTTCCTCACCTGTCCAAATCGCCGAGCCACAGAACACTTAGATCCTCAATATCTCAAGGGTGTCCCCTTTTCTTCGGGCTGCTCTAGCCTCAGTTCTACAATTCAAAGAGTACAAGTGCACTGCCCAAGGTCGCACATTCTCAAGCAGAGCTAGGACTAGTACCTAACTCCATGCTCCAGCACAGGATACACTGGAATCTTGCTGAGGGCTGTAATTGGCTCCAGATTCTTTGCTATGCTTTGGATATATTGTGCTTTACACATATTGTGAATATGGTTGTAGAAGTTGACTTCAGCGGGGTGAAGCAGCCCAAAGTGAGGAGTTCAGGAGTCAGATTCTATCTGGGTTCCACATCCACTTCCACCACTGAAAGTGCACTCGGTTAAGTTGGTTAATTTGTCTGTACTACTTCCTCATCTGCAAAACAGGGATCACATTACTTCACCACTTCTCCGAAATCCCCAAAGCTCTGGGACACTGGAAGGTATGTGTGTGTGTTTTAAATAATTTGTTTGGCAGCCAAACCTGACTTGGACGGTAAGGATTTGATGACAAAACCTGACCTGAATGAAACGGAGGCTATTTATGGTTTTTACTTATCCCAGTTAGAATAGCCTTCCATTTTACTGCACAACTGTCTTTGATGACAGGCTGCTGGCCCAGCCCATTGGGACAAGTTCTAGAATACGCTGTTGCACTTTTCAAAAGTACAACAATGTCTGTATTCTGCAACACACTTGACCGCAGGGTTTTGGGAAACGGGGTGTATAGCTGAAACAGCTCCTTCACAGGTTTGTCACACAGGCTGATTGCTAAAGAAATTAGTATTCTTAAAGCAATTAGAAAAGTGTGTGCCCACAGTAAGCCCTACAGAAGCGTTTAACATTTCAGGTAACAGTTAACCCTATGAATGCAGTGAAAGGTAAACTCGTTTATATCAGAATAGAGTCTGATGAATTTGGGGGCCTCCATAAAAGTGGGGTTCCTATCATAGCTTTTCTGTTAGAAAGGGATGAAATACCAGAGAGACAAGAAAACCCCTTTTGAATGGCCCGCCAATCCTCATGCCAATGCTCAGGAGTAACCACGATTCTGAAACCGGTGTGAACCCTGTCCATGCAAGCCTCTTGATTTTCATACATGCATATGCATCCACAGCATGTATTCTTGTTTAGAACAAAGAACGATCCAGCCCCGAACGGCAGCAGTGCGGAGGCTGAGAAGCCCTGCCCTGTCCCGCCTTGCTTCCCTGCTCCCGAAGCTCCTGCGCATGCCCCCAGCGGAGCACAGACCGCGATTACCAGCACCGCACACCCATATGCCTCTCCTCCTAGAAGACAAGTTCCCCCGAGGGAAGAGACTAGGGCTTAGCTAACTGCAACAGAAAGGACTCAAAAATTTGCTGAATAAATCCACCATCAAATCATGGGTCCCTCCCAGATGCCGAAAAGCCAAAGCATCCATTTGAAGAGCTGCCAGGGGAAAACACCTCTCCGTATCTGGAAGAAGTTTTCATATAGACCCAGGACTTCCACTGGCAACTCTGGCCATTTTTAAAAGGCAGGGACTACATGTCAACGTTTCCTGAGTCTTCAGCATGTGGCCAGCACTGTGTGATTCACAGGCACTAATTCCAGCGCGGTCTTCACAAGGACCCCACGTGGGGGCATCACGAACCCCCACCTGCATGAGGAGCGCGAAGTAGCTGGCCCGCACCTGCGCTTAACAAAGCCAGCAGGCCCGGGCCCGCACGCTGGTTTCTCTGGGGGAAGGTATGAGAGTCCTTTGCCAAGAGAATGTTTCACTCTCAAATAGCTAAGAAGCTGCTGCAATTGCAGGCTCTGGTTTGTATCTGTGCCTGAGCCATACTTATTTTCTATTTCGGTGTAGGAGTTTCACAGAAAAAAACAAAGAGCTACCAAGGATTTGAAATTTTAGTCATGTGTCACCTCAAGGGAAGTTAATTCTGATTTTTGTCCGCAATACCCAAGCACAAATCACAACTCCAGGAATACAATGAGAGCTTGGAGAAATAAGCACCTGGGGCTGGTGAAAGTAATGCATTTGTCTCAGGGCAGGGGCTGAAATGTGGAGCTAAGTGTTCTTCGGGAGAAACATGTCAATACTCAATCTTTTCACCAACCTTTGATGGATGTGCTAATCTTCTCAGGTCAACGTGGGCTCACCCTGGCAACATACTGTGATAACTTATTTAAAAGGCAGCTGGCTTTTATAAATGGACTGTTCTGTCAATTTTTAGATTTTCATCCTCAGAAATGTATTCCCTTCTCAAAGCAACATTCGCTATACATAGTAAGAGCTCAATTATACCTTTTCTACAACAGAGGGTACTGCAGAGGTGAGCAGGTTTGGGAATTACTGTTTTTCACTCTCAATTCTGTGTGACATTCAAGCTCTGTAGAGATAATGAGATAACAAGAAAAATGTCAAGACGGTTATTCTCATTCCATTAGAGCAGCGGGTTCGCAAACTACTGCCCTTAGGCCAAATCTGGCCCAAGGCCTGTTTTTATAAATAAAGTTTTGTTGGAACACACCCACCCCCATTTGTTTACTCACCATCTACAGCTGCTTTCAGCTGCAAGGGCGGAAGAGAGTAGTTGCAACAAAGACTGTGTGGCCTGCAAAGCCAAAAATATTGACTCTCTGCTCCTTTACAGGACATGCACACTGACCGCTACATCGGAGAGAAGTGGTGTTTGTCCCACTGGGTCATTTTCAGTGGGGGCTAAAGGAGTTCGAGCAGGAGAGGACATCTGACTCATTTAAGGCATGTGCGCTGAAGTCCAGTTGGGTTAAGGACAGGACAGAAGAAAATAGAAAAAGGCAAAAAACGAGGCAGTTTCTCTAAGTGAGGACTTTAATGAACTGAACATTCTTAGTGACATCAAAACCGAGCATAATATATATGAAATTATCATTTTAGGTCAAAAGAAAATCTTTCATGTTGGCAACAGTACATGTCTTGCTGACTTCAAGTGGCCAACGTATTATACCCAGCCCTGAGATGGGCCCCCTGGGACTTTGGTGACATGCTTGTTTCTCAGTATAAGAGAAATTTCCCTGAGAAAATGCACAGAAGGAGAGATTGAGTGAATCCGAGAGGAAGGGGGTGATGGCTGGGTACCCTGCACCGCGGGCTCAGAACTTGAGCGGAATGACCGGCCAGTACTTGGGCCGCTTCCTGTCACAGTGCTTGTCGAAGCTCAGCTGCACGGCGGCCTCCATGGCCTGGATCTTTGCGGCACTGTCCCCATACAAGCGCTTCATCTCGGCCTTGCGCCGCTCACCAGGCCTCTCGGACGGGGGCTCCACCGAGCGGCGGGTGCTGTAGTACAGGTCGTGGTCGGCGTTCACGTAGTCATCCAGGCGCTGCGCGTCCAGCTGCTGCTGCCGCCCTGAGAACGAACCGACATGGGGGGGGGGGAGGTGAGCCCGGGGTGCGGCTGCTAGCTGTTGGGCCCGGCTGCGCCCGCCGAGGCACTCACTAGGTTCTAAGGCATCGGCCGCACACCAGTACCCGCATGCCTAGGAAATGCACCAATCGCTTATCCGGGAGGCTAAGGCTGCCCCGCTAGACACGGCGAAAAGCCGCCAGGAAACATGTCACCCAGCACCATCAAACCTCCGCACTGAGCCTCGAATACAGTTCTGTCCCTTTCATCTATGCGGCCTGCCCACAAGCCGCCCAGCTGGAAGGGCCGCCTGGTTTCACATTGTACCAGGCCAGCAGGGACACGAAATGCTTCCTGCAAAGTCCAGGGCTGCAAGAAGTAGTACTTCCGCCCACAAATGAGGTGCTGGGGGTGGGGGGGGAGTCGGCCCCGTGTTAGAGGAGCCGATTTTATAGTCACCTGGAAAAGAGCAAGTGCCGGTGTCTATGTAATTGCAGCCCTGATCCCCAATCCTTCCACACAGCCAAAGCACAGAGCACGCCAGGAAATGGAGTCACGTAATTCAACACCTGCCCGAGGAAACAGGGCCAAGCCAGGGCAATTCTGCCAATGGAAGACCTGACTTCTAAGCTTCCTGCTGTATTAACAGAACTGCCAGTGCGCCGACTTCCTCACGATGGGATTTATCTTTCCCCTTCACAGCTTAGCTTCGGCCAAATTTCAAGTGATAGTTACCGGATTTTAAACCTACTAATTTAAATGGATTCTTGTAAAGCAAGAAATTCAGTATATTCTCCCCTGTATAGTTTTTACTAAAACAAGTCCTACTTTTATGCATAGAGAAATAACATTATCAATAAAAGAACACTGCATAAGGTAAAATTTAGCCAACTGACAGATTTTTGTTAAGTGACTCTGTCGGGAGCAGAGAAACAGAATGCACGCATCTGTAGCTGCTACTACGACTGAGAGAAACGCTGGTGAATAAGGAGCGAAGGTGGTTACAGGGGATGAAACAATGACATACATCATTCTTTCCTTGTTTGTTTGTTTTTTAAAGTAGCAGAATGACAGCTTAGTGTAGAAGGGAACCCAAAAGTGAGCAGCAAGCTATGTCTGTGGCTAGGCGGTCACGCTCCTAAGTTCGTTCTTCACACATATCCCCTTGGAGATGGAAGGAAGGAGTTTTGGACACTTGGGAACACGATAAACGTGGATGGCCACTTCCGAGTTAGCACATCTGCAGCTTCTCTCTTACACCAGGAGGTCACCTACAGATAGGCCAAATGACTGTCAAGCAAGTAAGTGCAATGTAACCGTTCCCTTATCCACAGAAGAGAGATGTAGCTGACTTCCCGTGAAATGGCAGAACTGAACCAAAATACTGGCATGATGTGCAAATGAACGGGAGGTCAATAAGCATTTGTTTCTCGGTTTTGGTCTTTTTGCCTAGTCTGAAACATCAGGATGTAAGTTGTTCAGTTCTCACAGGTGTTTAGATTGTGTACCCCCACCCTCCAAAGACCACTCCTCTGAAAGTGTGGCCTTTCCACATTAGCCAGGGACAGCAGTTCCCTCTGCCTCCCATGGGAGCCTTGGGCAGTTACCGGTCCTTGGGCTCGTTTCGTCATAGGCCCGGAGGAAACCATCCCGTGGGGGTGGGTGGGTGGGCAGAGCCTGTGCATCCAGATGACAGAGGTTCCCAGACCACAGTCCTTTTTCCTCTCACATTTGTCCCAAGACTATAATCAGCCTCACCGACAGATCCAGTGACACAGCGGACATTCAACTTCCTGTCTAAATTGGAGTCCTTGCGTTTGCAAGTTTTAATAAGCACCGGATCCGTGCTGTCTTAGCAAGTGTTGCTCCCTGCCACTGGGATATGTGAATGTAACCTTCTTACGTTTGCATCTTTCTCTTCCTTTTCCTGATAATTTAACATGGTTCTGCTACTCTTCTGACCAAAACTATCTTAACAGGTAGGAAATCAGTATAACAATCCTACATTGAGATGTTTTCTCTTACGGTTGACGTCTGTCAACGAAACACTGTTCATACGAGCCTACTGTAGCCGCTGGTCAACACAGCCAGCGCAACTTTCCAAGTTCACACTTGGCATATGCTCATGGGTCACCATCACAGGGCTTCAGCTAATGAAGCTCATTTTGTGTAAGAATAACAGAATAAAAGGCACAGGCCTCTGCTCTCAATCGTCTTCTTGTCTCTCCTTCCTGTTCAGGTTTCCTTATGAAAATTTTAAGACTCAACCCTTGTCCTCTCCCTGCCTCTCAAGAGGCTTGGAGCTTTCCTGGTTTCCAGCATGGTGGGTAGTTGCCCTAAAACACGGACCTAAGGGGCGGGAAGCCTGTCCCCCGCACTGACCGGCTAGTGCTAAAACCTGCCTGTGGAAGTCATGCGTGGGGAAGGGCACGGTTGCCTTCACCACCCCCCACCGTCCCCAGCCCCGGGAGGACACAATGCCTGGCGCTAAGCAGGTGCTCAGGAAAGGACTGTTGAGAGAAAGCCTGGACAGAGGCCATACCTTATTTTTTGTAAACAGCTGTTTCTTCCAGATGCTGTTAAAGAAAAATGATGACAACTCAGGGACAGAGAAACAGATGTTCAAATCTCAAAAGGTACTGGGCAGAGCTCCCCTCCCATGGGTTACTCGGAGCCTCCATAGCAGAGAGGCTGCGGGAGATGGGGGCACCAATGAGATGGGGTCTGATCTTGTTCCTTTACATCTGAGTCACTGTGCCTCTACTTACCTAAACACTTAAAAAAAACAAAAAGACCTAAGGCTAGACTACAAATTTGAAAACCAGTCAGCTTAAAACCAAATGCCCTCAGACTGGCTGGACATTGGAAGCTACAGCTAGCATCTGAAAGTACTTTAGCTTATACTGACTTAGGGGACCAAGCAAACCTTAGAACAGAATATACTCGTTTGAAGGCATCACTTACTGTTTTCTATTTATTGTTTCCTTCCTCCCAATGAAGGAAAGGATTCTCAATCACTAGCAGTTTTTCTTCCTGTCAAAACAGGGTGAGGGCTCAACCAGACGGAGAAGAGAACATCGCACTTCAGACAGAACAGGTGCCACGTCATGGAGAAGTTGATCATTTTTTACTGGAAACAGCTGTGGGACTCAATGTTACCCAGGGCTTTTTTTCTTATAGGCTATTCAGTCATGGAAACTTGTTTTAATACAAATCAGAATATATTTTTAGATTCCAGATTTAATACAGGGCTGGAGTGGGTCGAATAGTGTGCCGCCCCCCACCAATTCACATCTACACGCAACCTCAGAATAGACCTTTTTAGAAACAGGGTCTTTGCAGATGTAATTAAGGATCAAGACGGGATCATACTGGATTAGTGTGGACCCCAAACCCAATGAGCGTGTTCTTATGACAGACAGAAAAGGACACACGGAGACACAGGGGGGAAACCGTGTAAACAAGGAGGCAGAATTAGAACTATGTCCCCACAAGCCAGTGAACGCCAGGAGCCACCAGAGGCTGGAAGAGGCAAAGCCCCAGAACCTTTGGAGGGAGTGGGTCCTGCTAACACCTTGATTTCAGACTTCTGGCGTCTAGAACCGGGAGAATAAATTTCTGTTGTTTTGAGCCACCAATTTATGGTCATTTGCTACAGCAGCCCTAGGAAACTAAGATAAAGGTTAATATGCATATAGGGCTAAAACAAGAAAACAGTAACATCCTATGAAGGAGAAACGCTACTGGATCCCATCTGGGTTCAGGACATATAACCTTGATATTTTCCCCCGCAATCTATAAATTTACATGATGCTACTACCACTGTGGACTTACGCTCTCCAGAGGAAAACAAAATCATGAGGAGTGACTTGGTTTTTAGAAGACCTGACACAGCAGGAAAACATTCATTCAGTATTCCACAGATAATTAGCCCAAAGGCAGAACATTTTGGAAGACAAAGCACTAAGACAAATGAGTGCTGAAGAACATTATTTTTCTAGGATTAGCATGTCTTTCTGATTGTATTCTCTGCTATGTTGCCAGAATTAATGATTTTAGCACAACCGAGCACAAGCAGAGTCTGGATTTATATCACGAGTGACTCATTTCTGGCTTGTCAGCAACACAACCCGGAACACAGGTGCTCGCCAGCCGGCCTGGAGCCATTTCTGCTGGGCCTTCGTCCTCACCTCCCATCCCTCTCTCCCTGACAAATGAAGTCAGTGGATAATTACTGTTTTTACTTTTAGAATAAAAGTGCATTTCCATCCTGCCCTTCCACTTTTCCACAGCCTTTTATATGCATCTTCCCACCGACTGGTCTTCCGGACTTCGAGCATCTGAACTAAACGAGACACACACACACGGTGGAACTGTGCTCAGTCACAGGATGCCACGCTTTAATCCCACCCACTAAACCACAGCGGCTCACTCAATACTGAGCCATGCGTTGCACTGTATCCTCCAGGTTTTCCACAGAGGGGGGACTGAGGGCGAACTGGATGGGGCTGCAGCTGACTGACCGAAGGTTCGGTCATGAAAACTGGTCTAAACCTTCCAGCTTCGGTGGATACAACATGATGGAGCAGATGTCTCCCATCAAATGTCTAAAAGCACATCCGGAGGCGCCCGGCTAGCTCAGTCGGTAGAGCATGAGACTCTTAAAAGCACATCGGGGCCCTGTGATAAGCACTTTGAGTGCTAAGTGGGGGAGTGGACTTATCCCCTTTCTTTCTCTCTTGATCCCAATGAACCCCCTCCCTCAAAGCCTAGAGCACACTCCATTTTCCACCATTACCCCGTGAAACTTCTCTGATGGCTGAGTTCACTGGCTCTACTCATCACTGCAAAAGTACCCACGGACCAGGCCATAGATGGCTCTTCTAGGTATCAGTTTTAATTTGATTTTGTTTCCTCTTCCCGACTGGGTTTAAGCTCTTTGTGAATATGTCTCTCTTTTGACCCAACGGTTACCCCCAAAACACGGGGGATAAAATCTGATTGGCTCAAGCCTGAGACAACAGTGGTGGCGTTCATTTCGGAGGGTCTTCTTCTCCACTGGGAATGATAACTTTCACTCATTTCCCTTCTAAGTACTAGGACTATAACCTTGCAGTCTCAATTGATTGTCATTTATGACTAGAACATGATACTTTTCTTAACCTAACAATAAACATTTTTCCTAAGAAATAACTGAAAACACAGCTGACCTTTAAAACTCCACAACTGTCTACTTTCCCATAAGTAATGTTACCAGTGAAGTTTTGAATAATGGAAATATCTCATTAGGAAATGACATATAACATAATCAAAAGCATGTCTGTTCCCACCACACAGGGGTTATTTATCCTACTTAATTTTTTTGCTATCATTAAAATATGTGAGAGATTATCTGGAAGAGCAGTAATCACAAACAAGAACATGCTGTCCAGTATGAAGGATTTTATTCTAAGAAAATATTAAATAACACTCAGATGATGATGAATTATGTAACACATATATATATTCCCGTGGAAGTGAATAATACCAAAAAATAAAATCAAGTTTAGCTATATTTTTCCCCGCTAAGTGATATTTCATAAAATGCTGTGTTCTCTAGATGATCCATACTCAAAGCTGAATTTGCCTTTATTGAATAAGTAGCTTCTAGTGGTTCAAAGAGCAAAACAAAACAACTTTAGCCAAGTATTCACATTACTTAGGTCCCTAATCACTACTAAAATATATCCCAACTGTGTATGTGGCTAAACTTCCATGAACATTACTAGTCAAGGTAATGGGCTGGAGAGCACAATGGGCATTCCCACTGCTTACATCTGAGTTCCATCCCTCAGTACTGCTCGAAGGAACGGTATGGAGCAGTATTCATCCTATAGGCCACCACCAAAAGTGCTGGTGAAAAAAATAATTGTTTTTGGTGGTACAGTGTCAGGCCCCAGCAGCTTCTAAATCTTCAGCAGTCAGATTAGACTCTGACACCACAGCATGTTCTCGCCCTTGCCAGACAATGTCCACATCTCCCAAAGACCCGATAATATTTTCAGGGCAGACTGCACGACACAAAAGCATCGCGGAGACCCTGTGACAAGCAGTTTTCAACTATGCTACAATTATACATTTACAAAGCACAAAGAAGCAGAAGCTCAATGTGTTTAGTGCTGTTATTAGTAATATGGAAGTGGGTTCATTTTTCCATGTATTTTACTCTATTGTCATCTCAGGCGAGAATGTCCTTGAAATGGATTAAAAGTTGTGTTAATGACTACTTTGATGAAACTGTGTTAACGACTAAATTGGATCGACACCAAAACTTTAATTCTTTTGCTTTTTAAATATTCTAAGTTAATTTAAGAATTTGAAAAGTGCAGAGCAGAAATGACTTTTTTTTTTTGAAGCCACATAACATCTTTATTGAAAATAGTGCAGAATCTCAATCAAGCACTAATGAACACTGACAGCATCCGAGTAAAATCAGTATATGGTTAATAATCCACACTAAAGGATGAAGAATTAGCAACTCACCGTAACAACTAACATGTCTTGGGCACTGACTTCGTACCAAGCATGGTTCTCTAACTTATCTTTTATTATCTCGTCGAGTCTTCCTAATTACCACTGCATTAATTCGGACCTTGTGAGTCCCAGGTGAGGTGACTGAGGCACAGACTGATTAGGGTAGGTGACCCAGAAGCTAAGAAGCTCTGGCTGATAAGTGGTGGGGGCGGGCGGGACTCTGTCGCGGGGGCCGTTCTGCCACAGCCTGCTCGGTATAATGTTACAAATAATGACGTGTACGTTGACGGATGAGGTTAAAGACGGAGGCTGTATGGGTTTTCACAAAACTCCCTTTTTTGTTGGTTTGCTGTCTAGATCATGGTAAAACAAGTATGCACCAGTTTCTTCAAAGGGATGGCAAGACCTGTGGCGTTCACTTCATGTCCCACTCACAGACTGCATTTGGGACAAAGAAAATTCTCACAGGGGGATTGTTATTAGTTTCCTAGGGCTGCTGTAACAAAGCACCACAAACTGGGTGGCTTAGCATAACAGAAATTTCTCGTCTTACAGGTCTGGAGGCCAGAAGTCTGAGGCCAAGGTGTGGGCAGGGCCGTGCCCCCTTCCTCGAAGCCCTAGGGAAGATCAGGTCCAGGCCTCTCTTCCTGGTTTCCAGTGGCAGAACTCCCGTCTTCACATGGCCTTCTCCTTGGGTGCATGTCTACCTTTGTGCGCAAATGTTTCCTTTTATAAGGACACTAGTCATACTGGGTCAGGGCCCACCCTAAGGACCTCATTTTAACTTGACTACCTCTGTAAAGACTCTACCTATGTCCATATAAGGTCACATCCTGAGGTTGGAGGTGGGGAAGGTTAGGACTCCAACAAATCTTTTTTTTTTTTTTTTAGGGAAGAAAATTCAACCCACAAGAGTGATGATAACAGTGCAATCTGGAGCCCTGAAGTCAACTGAGCAGATCTGGGAATAATATAAAACCAAATATGAAGTTCATCAAGTTTATAAAGCATTCAAAACCTAACTCACTTTGTAAAATGCCCCACACAAGGAAATTTAGCACTTTCTGGGATATTTGAAAACCTCTGATTTAAGGCTCATAATTAATACTGAAATCATTCACTCATTCAAAACAGTATTAAGTGCCAGGCATGACTTAGCAGGTAATTTTTATGATTTTATTTTTTTTAAACTTACCTAGAATTCTACCTGACCAAGGCAAGAGGAGGAACAGGGATGGTTCTTAGCCATATCTAACTGAATTGCTGACGCTGGAAAGACACATTTTGTTACTTTATTTTCATTATCATCACATCTACTTTTTGAGTAACCATCTATCAAGTTATTTTACATTAGCAGATAATTCAAAATGGCCTTTTGGGTGACTGGGGTTTGCTTCCATCCCTAATTAGAGCTGCTCTCTGGTGGGAAAAACACGTCATTCTACCCTATGGTAAGGACAAAAGAAAGAAACCCCACATCCATCAGATTTTTTCAAAAGCTATAAAAAACGGCATTCCAACCAAATGTGGACATGCTTGAACACCTCCTCTCCTTCATCGTTGTAAACTTTTAAGACACTAAAGGGCACGATACTTCATACACAGCCCACCGCTCAGTTCCTGGTACCCCGTGGGGATCGATAAGCCCATCATCAGGAAAACACAGATCAATCAAAGATGAAACCAAAACTTGCCCATCCCCAGACTTCTATGTTTCTTTTTATTTATCTTGCTTGTTTCTATTAAAAAAATCCTAAGTAAAATATCATATAATTAGAACTCAATAAAAACAATATTGAGACTACATAGGGGTTACAAAGAGAAAAGCATTTGTGTATCTATTTGAGACACTTCAAACGTAAACAGTCTGGTGAATTTTCATAGTAAGGAGAGCACAACAAGCAGTTCTAGTTCTTTGTAGCAACTTGGTAAGAGATCAAAAAAAGGAAATTCCTGCTTTGCTTCTCTAACCCTAAGAGCAGACTGCTTCGGCATGGGATCAAACCAGAAAGGTTCGAGTCCTAGACATTTTCTGACTGTTTAGGTTCACGCTGACCTCTACTCTGAATGGTGCTGAATAATTAAGACCTGGTAGCTCACTAGCACCAGGGAAGTCTCAGAGCCGTGTACCAGTGAGGTGACAGCAGTATGTTAAAAACCTAGCAGTCTCAGGGACAAAACCTAATCCCTAAGTTTGTGCTAGAGGAAGCAGCACAGGAATTGGGAGTCAGACAGACCTTGATTTGAATCCCACCAGCTAATTACTAGTCGTGTACCATGGAATTAAGTCAATCAACCTTCTGAAGGGTCGCCTGACTCATTTGTGAAATGGGTGGAATGCCCTTGAGGGGCGGGGGCATAGATTAGGGAACACAGGCACACCTCTGTGCCCACTCCCCCCACCCCCCATCTGCTGTCTGATACTCAGTAGATAGCAGAGGTACCACTGGCACAAGCTTTGTTCTAAAGCTAAAAAAAAGTCCTGTATTAAAAGGCCTCCGGAAACTGACAGAGCTGAGGTGGGATCGGATGTGGAATGTGAGGAAGTTATAAAGTAACTTGAGGGAAGAAGACAGTGCACAAGGCAGGGCAAGTAAAGGAAACGCGCAGGGCCGGGGGCACACTTACGGCGCTCTTCCCTGTGCCTCTCGGTCTCGGCGAAGTACTGGCGCAGCTCCTCCGTGATCTCCATGTTGCTCAGGTCGCACTCCACGCCCCCATCTGACTCGGACTCCGCCTCCTCTGGGGTGGGCCAAGCTCGCCGTTCTCTTGGGCGGGCTGGTGGATGCTGCCCAGACCTTCTGGAATGTGCAGAACCGCAGTGCGAGTCCGTGGAAGCCGGGAGATGGTCACGAGAGGGCCGAGGAGATTTGGCCATGTTAGTGTAAGAGCTCTGAGGAAGAGCTGCAGGAGGGAAGGACCACGGGCAACTGAAATACGATTCCACGGCCTTCCTGTAGGCACTGTGGTGGCTTCGCATCCAGGCCATCGCCTGATGATAATGTCGCCAGTATCTTGCATATACTGGATGAAAAGACCAAGGCTCTGTAGCTTTCCAGGATGCCACCTACAGAATAAAGGGAGGTGGAGGCTAGATACCACACGGTTCTTCCTCAAGAGAATCCTCAAATATTTGACTAAACAACAGGTATCTACTGAGTATCTTCTAAACACCGACTACATCAGGATGCTACTACTGGGCCAAAGAGGACACAGGACAGGTCCATGCCCACAACGGACACCAAGCACATGTGCGTGAGGTACGCACAGGACTTAGTTTAAGGTTATGGCCACAGTAAAGTGGGGACAGAGGCTAGTAATTATCATTTTCAGACAAGATGTAGGGAGAGATACTGACGTCAACCATCTTGGCCCTCTCTACCCACTGTAAGTAAACGGCTAGTTCCACGAACCACATGAACTAATGTTTTCTGGTCCCTCCCTTGCTACCCCCTTAACATCTGCTGGTCTGGCCCACTCCTCAGTGCCTGGACAAAAGCTGTCTAGCAACCTACCCAATGGTGCTTTTACTTTTAGCTTTTGGATGTATTTGTTTCTTTGGTCTTCTCCATCATGGAATGAGAATACCAAGACTCTAAAGGCTAAAATTTACCCTTTTCTCATGAGTTAAAAAAGAAAATCTTACCTCTGCTGCCATCTCTGATTGTGGATGTCCAAATGGGCACTGAAACTAGGAAAGAACAACCACAGTTCAAACATCTGGGTCAGTACACGTGGGTGATATTTGTGGCTACTTCATGGTTTACAGAGCAGCTCCTCAGAGGTTGCCTCTTCCAAGTACCATGCCTGATCTTCACGCAACATACACTATAGGGCCCTGGCACCTGGGGAGGGATCCCCTTAGGTATGATTAAGTGGCTCAAAGGACACTGCGTTTTTCAAATATTTGTTTACCTATTGAAAGTAGACTGGAAAGAACCACAGTTAGCAGCCAGTACCTGTATAAAAAATATTAATATAGAACATGAACTAAAAACATACAACTATTACTTAATTTATTAATCCTTAACTCATGCTGATGCCTATTTAAATTAACCCTAGATGTCCCCACGGCTTGAACAGAATACATCTTGCCGACTCACTGGAAATCATTGTTGGGTCTTGCCTCAGATCTGGAACTTGGAGAAACCTCTCCAAATGAGATTTCTCTCCAGCCTGGGTTGTGCTCTGGGCTTTAAGCCCCCAGATGAGCCTTGTTTTGGTTTGGACTGTAGTAAGCATCTCTCAGCCAGTGTGTGACACCACACTCTCCCTGCCTAACCACTCTGCGTCTTTGCAGGAGAAACTTTCATGGAGACTCTCCACCAAGTGCCTGCATAGAACGCCCTCGCTCAAGAGCCTTGCTCGGCCAGGATTTACCCCTTTCTCCCCTATCTACCTGCTTGTGATGTATTGATATGGCAGAAGATACCTAAAGGTAAAGTTTCATCTGCAGCTGTACCTTCTATGAACTATTTAAAACGATTTTTTCTCCTTCCTGTTCAGGACTTCAGAGCTACTAAAATGCCAGCATACATCAGAATATACTTAAAAAAAAAAAAAAAGTTAAACAAAATATCCTGAGGCATCTGGCTGGCTCAGTCGGTAGAGCATGCAACTCTTGATCTCAGGGTCATGGGTTCAAACTCCACACTCGGTGTAGAGATTACTTAAAAAAAAAAAAAAAATTAAATTGAAACTAAAAAAACCCCCCAAAAACCAAAAAACCAAAAGTAATATCCTAAAATGCACGAGAAATGAAGCATCTGTGAGATGAAACCACTAACACAATGTGATACTGAGCAAACAGCTACTTGGGTTTTGAAACTCTGGGGACTCAGATACTGAAGGAGGCCTATTTTTCCTCCTTCACTTAATTAGAGGGCAGAATTTAAAAATCTCTAAGCCTTAAGAAATAAACTTATTTTGTAATCTCTATCAGATGTTTTGCTATGGTTAATGTGGAAAACTCAGATGTTAAACTGACCACATCTTTTAAGATTTAGCCTGAAGAGAACCATTCACTTTCTTTAAAATATAATAGGCTTTCCAATAGACTATTTCTAAGAGGTTTGACCCGATCTTCTGTAAATTTATTTTAAACACAGCCCACACTTCCTGTTCCCTGTTCTAAATTCAGGAATACACACACATGCAGTGAATAAACTGGAAAAAAGCCAACCAACACAGTGAAAATATAAGTGTAAATTAAGTTCACATTACTTTAAAACTATAATTTAAAGGTTTAAAACGTGAGCAATTATCTGAAAACCTGGCTAACTGCCTATGTGCTTTACAAGCTACTGAAGAAATATAAAAGTCAATACAATTAAGGGGTTAACCACCCAGAGAAGTAACACTAACACAAATGAAATTACAGTAGAAATCAGTACATACTTGAGTGCCAAACTGTAAGGTGCAGCCTGTAAGTGGCTAATTCATTCCAGCTCAGTTTCGTATTTGTATCACCAAAATCTGAGTATTTTTCTGAGAGCCTGCAGCACATAATGCCATTAAAGTGAACACCATGTGTGTCTTATTAATCAAATTTGTTTTAGAGATTAACAAGTAGCATAAGAATTAAATCTGAAAAGTCTAGGAGGCATCTGCATGTGTTCTGGAAATTAAGAGTTTTGAATCCAGACTTTGATGCCTCATAAAACGTACTTAGAACCAGATCAATGTAAATATTAAGTATCCTGAACTGGGAAGTCTGGATTCAGCCTCAAATATGCCATAAACACTATTGTAACTGAACACTACTGCAGACCTTCGGAAATCCTGTTTTTATTTATAACTGGGAAAATCCAGCCTGGCTTTAAAAGTAATAGTACCAGTATTGTGAAAATGTACAAGATGGCTTATGAGAGGTTCCACTTTGCAGAGCTAGAAGTGTAGGCATGCGCGATCAAGTAGATAACTGTTTAAGAGGCGCCAGCGTAATTCATCACGTTCACCAGGCTGCTCGAATATAAATGGCTGTGATTAAAAGGGGGCATGGAGAGTTAATTTGAGGAGAGGCTACTTATTTATGCCTTTGATTTCGACAAATAATTTGCTAGAAGGGCTGCCATGTTACACTGTCTCAGCGATCACACCAGGCAATGCCTTAAGCGCTTCTGCAAGAGGAAGCCAGGACAGTGGGCTGAGATGGCTGAAGAAAGCCAATTCTAGGGTTTGCAGCACAACCAGCTCTGATTCAGCCTGGTGCGCCAGTGCCCTATGAAGTAGACCAACTAGTCAGCTAAGGCACTGGACTCTTTCAGGACCCAGGCCATTAAGGAAAGCTGAATTTATCTTAGCGATGGAATACGGGCATCTCTGACATCGATTTTATTCTGATAGTGCTTTCCTGTTTTGGCCGCTGGGACAGTTACGATCAAATCTGCTGCCATTCTCCGGCAAGTTAAGAGTCCTGGAGCTGTGTGCCACATATGCTCATTCACCCCTGGCTTTATTATTCTTCCTCCCCAAATTCCAAAACCTATGTATCATAGTCTTTTACATTTTAAGTACTGGAAGATTCCTAAAATCCTACAGATTCAATTAAAAGTAATTCCCGAGAATGAACGACAAATTAAGCAAGCTCTCAGAAATCAAATGAAAGAAGCCCTAGAAAAATATGTCTAAAGGAGTAGCAGCTTGCAAGCAGCTTTATAATTACTGGCTTCTCTTTCCAGCATTACTCTTCATATTTTATGCCAGCAAAATTTTTCTGTAAAGGGTCAAACAGTAAATATTTTGGGCTTGTGGGCTACATACAGTCTCTGTCACACATTCTTCATTTTCTTTAAATTTAAGAACAATCCGGGGCGCCTGGTGGCTTAGTCGGTTAAGTGACTGCATTTGGATCAGATCATGATCTCAGGGTCCTTGGATCGAGCCCCGCATCGGGCTCCCTGCTCAGTGGGGAGTCTGCTTCTCCCTCTCCCTCTGCCTGTCGCTGCTCCCTGGCTCGTGCTCTCTCTCAAATAAATAAATAAAATCTTTACAAAGAAATAAATTTAAAAACAACCTTTTGATGATGTAAACACCATTCTTAGCTCCAGTAGGCAGTAACAAAAACAAGCTGTGGGCCATCCTTGGCCAGCCCCTATTTTGTGTGAATACATTATTCAGCTGCACTGACTCTGCTTTCAGTACACAGGGGGTTCTCATTGTTGCTCACTCTCCACTTGGCAAACCGTGGAGGAACTCTGTGCTTCTCACTCGTCTCATAAATGATTAGGCTCGGAGTAAGCCTAGTGGAAGCAAGACAACTGTGATGATGACCACCAGCAATCTGGGTGACCAGTTCCTAATATCTGGGACAAAAGAATTGTCTCCATGACTAAATAAGGAAATTGGACCATTTCTTAAAGATGTACATAGATATTTAAAGACTTAATTAAAAAAAAAACCAAACTCCTGCAATCAACTGGGCTTAGAATGCACACGTAGTGCCATGATTTCTGACGGAGACCCTACTAGCTGCCATGGGCTGGACAGCAACCCAACAAGGATGCGAAGCAGGAGAGAGCTCCTAGAGTCTCTTCCCTGGAAGAAGGAATACAAATCCCTTCCTGCTAAGTGCATCAGTTAGCTCCTAAGGGACAGTGAGAGCCTCCTCTAAGAATGGGTCCTGTGAACTTTTTCAAAGTGGCTACTCTTTCCACACAGAGAACTTTAGGACCTAAGAAAAATGCCCGGGTTTCTGAAAAGCCAACAGGAAACTAATTCTAGACATTAAAGCAACACTTTCAGCCACCAGTTCAAAGAGAAGCAAGCTTATGGTTACAGCAGATTTAGATGCCTTTCAAAGGTCTTTAATTTTATCTTTCATTTGCCACCTCTTTGGGAGTGTCTCCTACTCTGCGTCTTCATGGACTGAACAGCAGCTTTCCTCCTAATGGGATGGCAGAGCTGAAAGAAAACAGGATGGCAATGTCAGGGCAGGCTGGGACCTGCAGTGCCACCAAACCGGCGGCCCTCCCCAGCGAGCACAATGGCATAATAGTCACTACCCAGCTGAGCCCGGGCGGGCACAGAGGCCGAATTCATTGTCTGTCCTCAACCACCAGAGAAGGAAGGAAAAAAACAGCGCTGAGGTCATTCAGGAAACACTGCCGAGGCCCGGGGCCCAGAGGCAAGACAGTGCTCTGGGTCTTGAACCATAGAGTTTCCCACGTAGCCTTTTTTAAAAAACACACGCATTCTTCAATGAACCTGCTTATCCTGGAGATGTATTTTTAAATGCATAAATATACATGAGGAATAACAGACAAGAGCTTTGTCGTTTTCAATGGAAAAAATCCAACTATTTCCATCAAGTTATTAAAAAATTCCACAAGTAACTAATGTGGCTTTGTTGAAAGGTAGTGACGGCGTACGTATTCTTTTTCCTGCGTATTTCTATTCCTGTAAATATAGGATCTAGGATGTGTCATCGCAACCAATAAATAAAATAAAAACACAAATTCCCCTCAAACCATAGTGTACACTCCGCAACTGGATTTCCCTCTCTATCCTCCTTTTCCAGCAGAATCCTGAAAATTAAATACACAAAAACTCACCTGCTTTGATTTTTGCATAGAAACACACTGGAGGTCAGTCATTAAGTTATGCTGGCTAAAGCCCCTGAAGTCAAACCTTTCTGATAAGGCTCCCAGTGATTTAGTTCTCTGAACCAAACACATAATTTGGAGGATCTAATTTAGGCCTTCGGTACATATTTCAGGGTAGAAGGGGGTATGCTGGCAATTGCTCAAAATAAATGAAGGTACAATGAGAAATGGAAATTACAAGAATTGAGTCATTTGGGGTTCTAAGGAATTTCTGAATATGTAGTAAGAACCCTATCAGAGAAGATGTCTTCCAATAATGCATACACCAACAGGAATTTCTTCAACTAAGATAATAAAAGGTTTTCTGACAGCATTGCTTCCTGCCCACCACCCCCAGCTGCCTGATGGCAGTTTCAATTGGCTTGATGCCCTCATGGGCTCCCTCCTGTGGCTTAGCACGGTCCCTGCTGGGTAATGCGGACAAAGATGGCTCAAGCCTGAATGTCCGTCCTCCCACCCTCAGGAGTCCGGACTCTGTCTTATGGCCAGACACAGGCCTCCCCCAAGGGCACATACTACCCAGTTCAGAGAGCCCACATGTCTCTAACAACCATCGTTAAAACTGATGGGCGAGGGAGCCAAAAAACTTTTATTTCCTTTTCATTCCTTCAACCCCAAACTCTCTTCTGGATGTTGCAGTTAGGGTGTCACAAAGGAAGGCCCAGCATGGGGAAGGAGGAAGACTGATAGGACGTAGTTAAGTGTTCCTCCCCCCCCCCTTTTTTTTTAAATACAAATAACTTTCCACCCACAGAACGGCATTGTTTAATTTGTCAGCAGGGTGATGGATTTGTGCGTGGATTTATTTGCAAGTTCACCAAATCCCCATGTGGCTAAAGTCAAAATCTTAAGTGAATTATGAGGCCACTCAAAAACAAAGTGGACCCTCTGACTCATGAACACAACAGGCAACGGGAGAGTTGAAAACGGGGATAACAAAGAAGGACATAATAGTAATCCAGCTCAAACGAGGAAACAGTTAAGTTCAATTCACTGCAAGTTTATCTCTCACAAAGCAAAACCTAGTGTGACTGTAAAGGACTAAGGGTTAAACAGGCAGGTTATGCAAGCTCAGAGCCTATTAGCAAAAACCACGACTAGTTTAAAGTGGTTAAGGCCACCAGATTTTAGGAGCTTTATTTCAAGTTTACCTCTATAAACACATACATGGTAATTCCATTTAATCGCTGTTTTCTGAATTTATATGGCACTCACTACATCCCACTCATTTAATCAATTACTTGTAGGCATGGATTCTGCAATCTATTTCTTTTAAATTTCCTATTTTCCTTCCAGCATAAAAACCATAGCTATATTTTCCTGCCTTTGGATGCTGGTGAGATTGTTGTTTCCTGATAATAGTCCCTCCTCCTCCTTCTGCCCTCCCTAAATAAACTGAGTAGCTAGTCACTCAAGTAACGGTAAAGCTCCAGATCTTTTTGGAAAGCAGACGTTTAAATACATTAATATGTTTTCAAAACTATTTTTAATTCATCTGCTCTTTGGTCAACCACAGTTAAGCTCTTTTTTCACTTGTCCAACTGTTTTAATTTCCTATTGGAGAGAAGGGGTCCAAGAGTTCTGTACCTAGTTTGTAATCTCTCCAGCCTCCACCCTGGCCTTAATTGTTCAATGTTACCCCATCCTTATCTCACCCCACCCTTAAATGCTGGATCCTAAAACCCAAAATAATCCTTCACCGTCTGTAAAACAGTTTTAGAATGAAAATGTCTCTCTGGAGCTTTAGTTTATATACTTTCCCAGCACAGCAATGGACACAGAGGAGATCTGCATACCTTACTGTGAACCTGTCTTCAGTTACTATCCCAAGTCACTAACCAATGATAGTAACCAAGTTACTATCCCAAGTCACTAACCAACGATCTTTAAAAATATATGGTTATCTCTTGTCATTGCCATCCCAAAGGGGCTGTTATAAACTGTATTTGCAAATGTTATCTCCACCCCACAATTCATGGAAATCCTGAGAGTAACTAAGCCCAGAAGTGTTACTAATCTTTGGTCTGGACTTTCTAGTAATGTTCTGACTTAAGGTGCAAAACAGCTGAATACAAAACCTAGCCTATGACACAACCTTAAAAATCATTCTTGAAAAAGATAAGATTGTTCAGAACCATTTGATCTGTACTAAGGGAACTCCCAAGATTTCAGAGCTCAAAGGTACTTCGTTGGTCCCTGGTTCAACTCCACTTAATTACTGAGGAAGTGGGCAAAGACCTTCTCCACCTCCACGGGTAAGGCGCATAAAAGACCACAGGTGCCGAATGTTCTCTAGGTAATTTCCACCAAAATTTTTGACCTCCCACAGAGGTCAAAGTGTGAGGGGAAAATAATGAAAACCCCAAGTTTTGAGTAGACGGGCCAATATTCCAGACATCCCTCCAAGGATGAGGCTGCTCTGGGCGACGTTCCGGTTCAGGTACTGGGCTGTATGGTCTAAGTCAGAATTTATCCAGACTTAGCTTAACACACTGTTACTCAGCACCTCAGAAACACGTGGGGGAGGGGGGAGTTTAATAAAAATACCGATGCCTGGGTCCCACTTCTAGAAATTCGAATTTAATTGGTCTGGGATGGGCCCCCGGGCATCAAAATTCTTAAAAGTCATCCAGTGATTCCGAAGCACGGCGGCTGAGAGTCTCTGGAACCAGTCCCCTACCACAATTAACCAGCAATGATGTAGGACTCTCACGGGCCCCGCGAGATGAGGCTAATTACGACAACGTGACAGGCAAGCCCTCTGCTCTCCCGGCATCTGCGGAAGCCAGGCTCCGGGGCCTCCAGGCTCCTCCCTCACTCCCCAAAGGAAACCCAGCCGTCCCCGGAGTCACCTCGTGGGCTCGTTGCTGGCGGATCCCGGGCGGTGGGCGAGCAGGGGCCTATTTCCTGTGAGGAGACAGAAGGGGCGCGGGAGGGAGGGGCTGTTGCCCGGGAGACCAGAAATGCACTTCCGGCGAGGATCACGTGACACGCGCGCCGGAAGCCCGCGCACGGCGCCGCTGACGCCACGTCCGCTCCGCGTTCTGCGCCACGTGTGTGTGGGGGGTGGAAACTGTCGTGAGATGAAGCTCCGCCTTCCGGGGCGGAGCGTAGGGAATGTCCGGAGAAGGGTGATGGGACAAGGGTCTGGGCGCGGCTCCGGCGTGGCGGCGCCGGGTCTAGCACCTGTAGCTCGGGTGACGGGGCTGGCGCGGCGGGAAGACGAGGGTTGTTTCTGCACCGCCCTCGTCCCTGGGCCAGTTCCTTGACTGTCGACTTTTCACCCTGATCTCAGCTCTCTTATCTTCCTCCTCTTTTCTTTAGTTGGCCTTTTCTTTCTTTCTTTCTTTTTTTTTTTAAACTGGCAAGGCTAGAGATCGTGGCCCAGGAGGACACGCCCAGGCTCTGGAGATAGCGTTTAGCTTATTAACCTCGCATGCTTCGGGTTCTGGCCCGTAAGATGTGAATAATCCCTCGTGCAGTGCCTGGTGTGATATAGCCGACAGAAGTTAGTACCTTATTAACGTTATTTGTATTGCAGGCATTATCAGCACCACTTGCATTGCTAGCATCACAGAGGATTCGTGAATAACCAAGCAAAATCCACCGAAGTCTAAGTGGCATATCCTTTCTGCGGTAATAGTTTGGCAAACCGCGGCAAGAGCCCTAAAAAGGGTATACTTTTGTCTTAGAATTTTCACTTCAGGGAATTCATTCCGAGGAAAAACAGACGTTAAACCGGATGTTCATTGCAGAATTATTTTTAAAGTGAAAAGGAAAAAACAAGTGCTTAGTAAGAGCAAGTGGCTAAGTCAATTAGTTCACGCTCTACCCGTGGCGTGAATATTACTACCTATTCCTATATTACAGAAAAATCAAACTGTATAGGAAATTAACAAATATGTACTGGCTGCCTACTATGTGTCAGGTATTACTCGGTATCTGCACTGTCCATTGCAGCCACTAGACGCATGAGGCTGTTGAGAGCTTGCAGAGTCTGAACTGAGGTGTACTGGAAGGGTAGATCACACAGTGGATTTTGAAGAATTAGTATGAGACAAAGAATGTAAAATACTTCATTTTGCTAGTGATAACATGTTAGGGAAGGACTGTTTAGGTTAAATAAGATGAGATTAAAATTAATTTCACCTTTCTCTTTTTACTTTCTTAATGTGACTCCTAGAACATTTGAAATGGCATAGGTCCCATGCATCATTATATATTTCTATTGGATATTGGTATTCTATTTACCAGATATACAGTGGTGAGCAAGACCGTTTTTGTCCTCATAAAAGTAACACTCTGTTGAGTATAGCATGGACAAGGAACAGCTAAATAATGTTATTGTATATCTTGGTTATATGAAGAACATAAAGCGAAGGTAAGGGCCAGAAAAGGTGTATATATTGAGGGCGGTTATTTTAGATGAGATTCTTCCTCCCCTGTTCAGAAAATGGATGTGGGAAGGATGAGATCTCTATGGATAGAATGGGAAGGGGATGGTAGGAATGTGGTGTCTTCTGGGCAGTCAGCTATGGATTGAGGCTGATAAATCATTTGGGCCTGGTGGAATCTCTGCCTTAGGGAAGAAACCCCATCAGGAGAGGAAGGAGAGATACCGGGGGAAAGAGCTCAGGGAGCCTCTGGCAAACACAGAACAAAGCAGGCTTGCAGTGGGTAAGTTTCAGGTAGAGCAGTTACTGGAGTAATAGCATATGTATGTTGTAGTCCCGTGGGTGTACGTATATATACATAACGAGTATACTATGGTATTAGATAGCATATTACTTTTGACTGCTCTCACAGAGACTCCGAAGGAGAGTGGCTCAAACTGTTGAAAATGTATTTCTATCTCTCTGGGTGTCAAGTGTCCAGAGTAGTAAGGTAGATGTATGGGGCCAGGGACTCAAATTTCACCTATCTCGGAGCTCCACACTCCCCAGTTTGTTGCCGTGGCCCACGTGGTCAAAGACATGGCCAAAGATGATGCACCACTGTACCTTCCTTCCAGCCAGTGGCAAGGGGGAGAGGGGAAGCTGGGGCATACCCCTTCCCTCTAAGGCAGGGTTTTCCGCCTGGGCAGTATTCATATTCGGGACGGATAATTCTGTGTTCTTTTGGGGGGGCTCTCTTGAGCATTGTAGGATTTCAGCAGCGTCCTTGGCCCTTACCGACTAGGTTACAGTAGCATCCCCCAGTGTGACAACCAAGAATGTCTCCAGAAGTTGCCAAATGTCCTCTGGAGGGCGAAGGCACCATTGGATGAGAATCCTAGTGCTTTAAGTGCACTACTACCTAGAAGGTACTCACCACACTTCTGCTCATATCCCACAAATGGCCAGAAATTCATCATTCAGCCATCCTAAGGGCGAAGGAGTCCTGGAATTGTCTGCTGTCCAGGTGCCCAGCTAAAAGGTCGCTAAAGGAGGCCGCAAGATGCTAGCAGATTCTTTGGCCCCCTTGTTGCCACAGGGAATGGAAACCACACAGCCGATTGAGGAGGTGGCCCTGTTCATCTTCCAGAATGAGTTTTAGTCATTATTCATTTCGATTCATTTGCATTAAAATATTGGTGGTGGGAAACACTAAGTGCCTAAAAAGTGAGGATCCCATTTGAAAAGGATGGGCGTTGCTACTCCAGAGGGCTGACCAGGGAGAGAAACTGGATTCAGAAACCGAAGCGGCAGAATGTTGGCTTTTTCTCTTGTGTTGTAGCGCCACCTGGTGGAAATTTATAAATCCTACCGTTCTTCACCCGCTTGCCTGGGACGGGCTTTCGCTCGGGTCAGGTGTAAACCTCAAATTATAAATAACCCTTACGTGGATTTTAGCAAACCCTTGAAGGTCCTCCTTTTTAAGATGAGGAACTTTTTAAAATAGGGTTCCTCACCCCTGGAACTATTGACGTTTGGGGCCAGCTAATTCTTCATTGTGGGCGCTGTCCTATGCACCGGAGGAGGTTGAGCAGCCTCCCTGGCCTCTACCCACTGGATGCCAGTCGCAGCCCCCCATCCCTCCCCTCTCCGCTGGCGACAACCCCAAATTACCAAATCTCCCTTGGGGGCCAAATTGCTCCCTGCTGAGGGCCATTCCTTCAAACAGAGTATCTAAGAGTCCACGGACTATTAAGGCCATCTGCCACAGCGCTTCGTGTCTGTGTACCCTGGGAATGGGAGGGGCATGTCTGGGAGAAACGGGAAGACGCGACTGGGCGAAAACCAGGGTCCAGATGCAGCATGACATGTCCTCTTTGTAATACTCTGGAGAACTCTGTTCCTGCTTGTCCCAGGAATCTCATCTGGAGATGAGATTGACTGAGGGCTGCCCGAAGGTCCGGAAGGCGGATGTAAAATGTCTTTAAATCCCCCGGGGCAAGGGAATCTATAGAGGTCATTGCCTAAAGCACGAAGGCGCACAGCGTAGTCCCAGACTGTGGTGGTGTGTGTGTGTGTGTGTTGGGGGGGGGGTGGCAAAGTCCTGCCATGGTTCATCTCCTGGGAGCTTTTTGGATCTCCCCACGCCCGTTACCTCTCTGCTGCCCGAGTGTTCTCGAGGAGCTGGTTAGGAGCCAGTCCCCTTGCCTGGGTCAAGTGAGTGGTGCTAAAGCCCCTGCAAACGGTCCTGAGTTCTTACCCGGGAGCTTTATGAAGGAAGGTCAGTTTTGATGTGAAATGTTGGGGTCCAGGAGCGAATGGTCAAGAAGGAATTCTTGGCAAACAAAGGTGGTTTTATTAAAGCCTGGGGCCGGGACCCGTGGGCAGAAGGAGCTGCACCAGGGTTGTGAGGAGTGACCGATTATATACTCTTAAGTTGGGAGGGGGTTGGGGAGAGCGTAAGTCAGTCTCTAAGGAATTTGGGAGCAGGGTTTTTTTAAGGACCTTGAGGGGCTAGTTGCTATTAAGATAAGGTCATTTATGACTGCGTAGTAAAACGTTAGTCATGAGACCTTTCAGATGTATATCAGTGGACCACAGGTTTGGAGGATGATGGCTAACACATATCATGGGGGTGGCGGTGCAGGGTGGGGGTGGGTGGGTAGAGATAAAGGAAGTTTCCAGAGAGATTTTTACAGGATCCTGGAGGTTGGGCTAATGTCAAGCTAAGGTTGCCTTTCGCCTCTAGCCAAGTAGTCACATTGAGGCAGCTGAGTTCCTGGAGGAAGGTCACTCGGCCTGTCTTGAGTACTTGTCAATGGGCTGCAAGTTGTAAGGACATTTAATTTTTTCTACATTTTTTTTTTTGCCCTGGTTCTCCACATCGAGCTTCCCAGGGGCATTGCCTAGTGGCAGCTTCTGGCCCCCCTGAGGGCCTCTCCTACACTCGCCACCTGATGTCACCTCCTTGTCAGCTTTGCCCCGCCATCCCGACCCTCCCTCTCCACGGAGACCTTTCTCCTGACAAAAATGAAAATGCCCAGGTGCAGGTCTCATCACTTGGGAAGGCAGCGCGTCTTGTTTCAGAGGAAGAGGTATCTTGGCTTCTGCCTACGCCAATCCATCCTCATGTTCTCTGGAGCCAGGCCCATGTCCTCAGGGGCCCCTCGCTCCTTCAGTTATGTCCCTCTTCTCATACCAGTGCCTCCTCCTTCCCCAGCCCCTTCCCCCTCAGCACCAACCTTGCTCAGGCTCGCCGATCCTTACAGTAGTTTTGGCGGACTTTTCACGTCGTGCTCCTTACTGTTCTTTCTCCTTCCCTTCGCGGCCCCACGTCTGTACAAAGTGCGCTACCCCAGTGTCCTCACCTTCGTTCCACTCGACCCGCTGCCGTTTCTCTTCCAGCACATCACCCTTGTGTCCCTGAGGCTCTCTGCCGACTTCTGCCTCTCCTGTCTGCCATTATTTGGCCTCTGCAGTATTTGATACTCTTAGCCAAGTCCTCTTTTTTTCTTTTTGCAATCACCACGTTCTCCCTCCCCAAACTGCAAAGTAATATGTGCTTAGTGCACAGAACAAAACACAAGGA